GTAACGTCTTTATTTACCAGTACCGTAGGCGACCAGGGCCGAGTCGTCCTGACACCCCACTGATTAACCAGAGAAGTTGATTCTGGGCCAGTCTCGACTGAATTCACGGCAATTTGATCAACATGAACAATCCACGAGTTATGTTCGATTCGCAAGAGCCGATTGAAAGAAGTGACGACAGCGGTATGTTGGACATTTATGTTGGATTAGTCTGCTAAGTGAGAGTGCTATAGGGAGCGTATTGAGTGTTTGTGCCTGTGTGTGAATATGAGGAATAATTAATTCATGGTAGGTTATAAGCCCGGGGGGTCACTCTATATGCCATCACTACCCCATGTGCGTTCCAAATTTAGCGGAAAAGGAGGGTGTTTTTCACTTTCTAAAGCGGGCCCGCGCGGGAGGCAAATAGGCCCCCTTTAAAATGCTAATGTCTGCAATAGGCCCCCAGGAATAAACTAACAGGGGTGCTGTGTCCGCTGTAGGCCCCCTCTTGCAACAACCACTCCTATACACCGCCCTAGGCCCCGAATTGGCGGACCCATAGCCCGACCAGGCTCTTCAATATGTCTGCTCTAGGGTACTAAAATTACATTGCGTCCGCAATATGGGGTATGGCTTGCCAATGTGCTGCCAGCCCTAGGGGCTATTATTTTTTAGCAAGAATGCACATGGTGTAAAGTTTTTATATAAAGTGATCCCCCGGGGTTGTATGTGAGATGGGTTGTGCGAACGGCATGTTATGTCGACCTCGCCGTGTGCAGCACGTACAGAAAATTCGTAATCATCAAGATTCTGGTTCGGTAAGAATAATTTGCATAAATATAAAATGGTAAAGGCCATGGTATTTTGTCATGTTTTGACGTCAGAAGTTCGGAGATATGTCAGCGAGATTGATTCGAGCTACACACTACTGTTATGTGTATATTGTTCTGATTGCGACTTCGAACCAGAAACAGAGGGATTCTACTTTATCTTAATCACTTTTTAAAATTTGAATCAATTAATAACAATAATGCTAATGGTACAGTTATCAGACCGTATAAAAACGAGGTGGCAGTTACTATGGAAACAAGGTCGGTAGGATGCAATATTAGAGTGATATATTTAAATAATAACACATGTTTGTAAGGGTAATATCACGATGTGTTGCCTGCCCAAGGGATGGTGGTCATGACCAACAGCTCGAGGGAAGACAACAAATCGCGATATTGCCCGAATGACCATGTGTTATTTATTTATCACATCGAGCAGACATCCACCATCCGCATCATGCACAAATACATCTACCATACACCACACACACCCGCTCTAAAATAAAATAACAACACTTATATGCAATATAAGTATGCAATATTTCATTTTATGTATTATAACAAGTTTCACATTATTCAATATCATACATACATTGTTTGCTGAAAAAACTGCAAAATACACACAGTAAATGCTATTTTCAGCCACGTATACTTTTTTTAGTAACCGTGTTTCCACAGTGTGTACAACTCAATTTATCGAGTATAACATTTTTGAAATGAATTGAGAAATTCTCAAACGCAAGTTATTTACCTCTCGCCAGATAAAAAAATGTCAGAGTACCGTGGAATCGAAGTGATTGAAATTACTTACTCACGAACGTACTACACCTTCTATTCGCAATTTACACAGCTTAGAGCGTTTTCGGTTAGGGGCGGACCATGATATCTTGGAGGGCCAGGGAGATTTTTGTTAAAAAACAATTCTATGACAATGCTTGAAACAAAATGCTACACTATATGTATGTAAAAAAAAAATCTGAAACTTTCAGAACCCCTGAAAAAAATTTCAAGAAAAGACATGACAAAAAAATAAAATTTTTGAAGAAAGATTTTTATTGATCCTTTCCCTCAATTTCATCAACTATGTTGTTTAGCATTTTTTTTCACAATGACTTTCTGCTGTATTTCTGTATAAACTGTCAATGCATTGATAATCACTGGTGGATTGATGAACGTCTCACCGACTGAGGGCAGTATTGCATTAGCTCACTGAATACGTAACAGATGTATTATTCCGTGTTAAAATATTTCAGGTGTGATGTAAATACCACTGGGGTGTTCTAACTTTGTAGTTAAATGGGTCTGTATATTTATATGTGTCGTAATCGATTTATTCCAGATTGTACATTTCTGTAATGAGCTCATGGACCTAAATAGTTGTTACCACTAATTTTAGTATAGTATTGCTCGTTGTTTATTTGACGAAGACTTTCATATATATAGTCAGTTGTATTCATGATTGCAACGCCACGACCTTTGTCGAATGGTTTTATTACAATTGTGTTATCATGATGTAGTCTATTTATTGCTGCTCTTTCGGCAGAATTCATGTTTTGTTTGTTGGTAGTAATTTTGGATATTTCAACTTTGGTTGCCTCAATGTAATTTTCGAGGCTACTGTTATGTGAGTCTGGTGGGTTCCATGTTGATTTCATTGTGGAAGGATGTTTTTGAGATTGTTTATTGCACATTAAATATTTAATACACATTCTCCTAGATAGCATAGACATGTCTCTGAGCAAAGTGTGATAGGTTGGCTTAGGTGGGGTTGGTAAATAAAGTAGTTTAGTGTACTGTTTAGAAACCTGTTTTGAGACAAGACATCCAGGAGGAGGACTGATAACAAAACCCTTTCATGATGTTAGAGGGCTATTATACAAGTCATCTACTTTGCTTAAAATAGTGGAAAAAATATAAACAACTGTTGAGTGCAAAAATAAAAATTAGAAACAAGGTCTGCTGAAAAAAAAAATCCATATCAGATAGGGGAAAAAAAGTAGGCTTCATTTTAATCTTCCAGCTCCCCAGGATATCAAATTGCCCTCCCCTTACACGTCCCTGGCATGTTCGCTGTCTATTTCGAATGGCTAAAGTTCCTTCAAAACCTTGAAAGCAACCAAAAAAAAAACAGCGGTCGGGTAGCAGGGGTGCATCGGACGACATTTTTTTCTGCGCAGTATCGTTGCGCAGTTGTTTCAGTGACGTCATCCATGTGATATACCCATGTAATATCCACTTTGCGGGCATTATACCATGTAACACCCATTTTTATTCAATCATAGCAGACGTAACAGCAGTGAGATGTGATAAATCCTGATGATGAAATGTTTACTGATGGCACAGATGACTTTATTGATACTTGTCGGATACGGCAAATAATTGTCCCTAAACTTATCTCACATTAATATATTCATTTATTTATGTATTTGTTTGATTGTTTATTTATTTATTAATTAATCAGATCAACAGACAATCGGCATGACCTGACGACATTCCACATTTTAAACACACAACGGTGGTTATACGCACAAAGATGAGAATGTGGAATAATTTATGCCTCAACAGTGTTCGTGTTGGTATTTGCATGATATTATCACCAGTAATGCTTTCTTACTGTTTATTCTTCATTCATCAGGGGCCGCTTTGCCCTCAACAACGTGCACATTCCCCGCGACTGAAAAAACAAAAGAAAAGAGGTGTTTCATTTCTCACAGCAGCGAAGACGCGGAGTGGATTAAGGAAATGATAACAAAGCTGGAGAAGGAAAATGATATTAGGTGCATCTATGCAGAGAGGGACTTTTACCCCGGCAAACCAATATTAGACAACATTGTAACCAGCATTAGAAATTCTACTATAATCATCGTAGCGTTGTCGCCAGCCTTTCTGGATAGTCGGTTCTGTGAGTATGAAACCCAAATGGCCCTTATGGAACATCTGACAACAGCTCCGAAGCAGATTGTTAGTATTCGATTGAAGGAGTGAGTAATTCCCGATTTTATATCTCATCTCACCTATCTTGACGTTGAAGATTCTAACTTCTGGGAAAAGTTTTTGTTAATTCTGAAAACAGGTAGGATAATAGCGATTGTCCAATTATTATAAATTCAGTGAGCTTTTGTTCGTTTGTTTACTTATCACACTATTCAGTCTACGGATTGTAAATGTGTGGAGAATTAGTCATCACAAAGACATGTACACAACACATATTTCAGAATACATACATGCAGCTTGTCACATAGAAGTGTTTGCATTTAAGTTTTCTTTTTCAGAACATACTGACTGTGACTCAGGTTGGCCAATTAGTACTGTAGCTTCCCGTTAGCTCTGTAGAGGAACAAGGGGACCTGGGTAACAGTATAATTGTGACGGAATTTATTTACTGTTTACTAGCCGAATAAAATATCAAATTTGAGAAACCAACAAAACCGAATACTTGCTTACTTTTGTAGGTAATTAAAATAAATATCGTACGCGGGAGTATATATTAAATATACAAGAACGCTTGGAAAACTACACTCCCCCTGATCAGTTGAAAAAATAATGAAAATTCAGTAAAGTCCAAGAAGCTGGAACAATTATAGAAATAAAATAATCAACGTGAAGGGATCGGAGTGGTCAGCTCATAATGTCTCTATTAAATTAAATATCTTCGCCACCCAGATCATAGTATCTAACCATTGTTGAGTTTAAAAAATAATCGATATGACAGTGAAAACAGGACGACAGTATCAATGCAGAAGTGACATTAAAATCCATGATGCGTTACATTGCAGAAAAAAATTCCCGTCCCAAAATGACAAAGGGCATTTTTTAATAAAATAATCAGTGGCGCGTGAATTCAGGTACAGACTATAATTTTGAATTGCTGTTTTTCGTCAATGTATTCATGTATTTAATACTTAAATGAATTCCAAAACTCTTCTAGTATATTAAGTGCGAATGGAGATAACATGTTATGGGGAAGGAAGAGAACTGTTTTTTTTTTACTTTAAATGTTTAGTCCAATGAAATATGCGTAATATAAGTAATGGGTGACGGGAGCATCGTTCATTTGCATAGTTCTAAATGGTTGCACACTCGTGGCAACAATTAATTAGGCTGGGAGATATTTTATTTATAGTTTGTTATTTGTTATCACCTAGTGATAGATTATTTCACCCCATATAATATGACGTAACAATAAGTAACGTTAGAGGCAAACGTCGTTTTTCCTTCTAATTGCATGACTAGCTACTCTGTATAATCAGTCTGGTGTTGTTTTCCAAGTTAGTAATAGTAATATTTTGACCTCACAATAAACTACACTTTCAACATTAATTACGTTTAATCGAAATGATTTGATTTTTGGTATTGTTGTTTATTATTGTAGATTACCTCCATCATATTTACTTAACAAACAGTAGACTTCATGTAGTAGACACCATTTTTAGCTGAATGCTGAAAGTATGTCGCATTTGTTTACACTAAACACCTATTAAGCTTGGTCTATTGTCATTGAATTGACATATTCAATGTGTTACAGAAAACAAGATTATGTGAGGTTTTTCTTTATTTTTCATAACTTGGGAATAACTAAAAATATTTGTTATGCAAATTGACCCACTATTAGTAATTTACATTTGACATATTCGCACGAACATCAATGGAGGTTTAGTCCCATTGCAAGCGATTTGTCAAATACTTTAATAACTGTTTTCATATATCACATCAATAACATAGCATCGGGGGTTTTAGAGAGAAACGACTAGTCTAAGATAAGAAGTAATCCTGACATGAATAAACACTAGCGGTAATTTGATTGGAAATTCAGGAATCACCATTTTGACGACTAATTGCAAAAAAAAGAAAGCCAGGCAAAAAAAAACCTGGACTCTGTTATTTCCTCTTTTTGCAAAACTGTTCGCTTATGTTTATTTATGAGTGGAAAAATGAAAAACATACATTTTCAAGGAAAACAAAAATATGCACTCAAACGTCAAATGTTAAATAAATTCACAATAAGAGCTGGCCAAAAACATATAACATGTGTATAGTCAAATTGTTATAAGAAAAGAAGTGGCCCGAGTCTCGTCATTACTTGTGCTACAAATGTGATTATTCCGGAGAAATCGCACTAAATCATGTTCATGTAGCCGTTCTCATCCCGCTCAGTATTACTGCCAGACAAACACACAGCAAGCTTCATATTGTATGTTCCTAGAATTATGTATTGTATACAACAGATCGTCGTAATGTGAATTTAAATGCGCTTACCATTCTCTAGATACTTATAATTCACATGTCACCAGTGACTATTCAAACGCTTGTGTTTATTAGATGGCAAAATAATAAAAAAATAAATAAAAAAAAACAAGTTATGGTTAACGACAGCACCTGTTGCAATTAGGGGAAATATTCATGCCTAAGATAAAGTAAAATGGCCAAAAAGCTAGTCCTGTCAATTTATTATCCCATCACAAATTGAACAGTTATAGGCAAAAACAAATGACTGCCAGTCGGTGGATTCGGTCTAGGGGTTATGACTCCGAACAGCTGGACGAGACCGAATCATTTCGAACTAGGATAAGTAAGTAAGTAAATAAATAAATAAATAAATAAATAAATAAATAAATAAATAAATAAATAAACGAACAGACAGACAAATAACTATGCTGTTTTTTTTTAAGGCACAACAGGAGGTGTTGGATCCCAATTCGCATCGACACTAAGTAAGTTATCTGTAGTATCTGGAGTGAATATCATCAATTTATTGCCTAATATAAATCGTGAAAACAGAAATCATTTAATCACATAATTTTTTATTTAACAGACAAGTACAATGGTAAAAATGTCTGGTGTATACCGTTCAGCGCGTATGCCTGGAGCGGTTTTGACTATGAGGGTTTACATAAAACACTTTCATCAAAGGGAATTCGGGTACGTTCATTGAAATACCGTTGTATCTATTCTATGGTTTTCGCTTCATATGTTTGATTGTCTCTGCCCGATTTATTGTATCATTGTATTACTAATGCATGTACTACAGCTGATAATCTCAGTGATATGCTAAATAATATTTCTGTTTTATGATATCCATGGACAAAATTGACATTTTTCTTTTAACATTCGTAAGCTTGATTTATTTTGATATTGGATGTTTTAGGAGCTTCTGAAATGCAGGTTTTGTTTTAGTCATATTCAATATTCGGCTTATTCTGTATAAAACACATCTTAAGGCATTACGCATCGCTTAAACATGGCGCATTATCTGTTAATATCCATATATTAGTAGAATGATACGTGTTACTATATATAAATATGTTTGTAAGCTATTTATAGTAATAACAATAATATTATTTTAATAATATTGTTTTTCTTTCTCTTGTTAAGGTACCGAAAAATGTAACAACAAATGCTCTTGACCACGTATGGCACAACGTACAATTTGTCTTCATGAATTGGTTTAGCAAAATACTGCTGTTAGCCAACTACTTCAATTCAGCATTATTAATAATACCATTGATACTAATTGTACTGTGTTATAAGTTATTCAATGATGTCATTATTGCCATGATATACTACGCAATATTGGGCATTTTATTAATTTCTATCTTATCTGGGATTTTTTTGAACTGGGTAATTAATTTAGTATATATCACGTAATTTTTGTTTTCACAGTAATTTATACAGTGGCGTATTAGCTCACATCGAAGATCCTAGGGCAATTATTCCACGGATACAAATTACTAGTCCTACTTAAGATAGTGGTGGTGGGGGGTCGCTATACTTAAGTTATCCAGGGATTTACCAGCCATCTTTCTGTATTTGTGTACTGCATTTAGTGCCATCGAAAAATGTATAAAAAATATATCCTTGGGTAGAAAATAAATAAGTAAAGCGGGTCGACGGGCAACGTATCTCTGCCTATTTCACATTAAATGATTTATTTGGTTTGAAAATCCGCTCCTCCAAATATTCGTGTTATAAGTTCTGCATCATACATTATAATTATTTTATTTTCGCTAGGCAACTAATTCGTTTAAGGAACTATCATACACAGTGAATGAACGCCTAATAGACCATGGTTTAATAACTGCATTTCATTGGAATGAAGTGGACATTAATTACCGTGTATCCTTTATTGTCTATAAATTCAATTTACATATTTTGCAAGATATATATATAACTGATTCCAATGTACATTTTTGATTAGACATCAGCCATTGTCACAATTCTATACGCGTACATTATTCATTGTCCAGACAAATCAATATTTTTTCTCAGTATCTCATGCAGTTAGACTTCATCTACTTCAAATCAAACATGTGCTTAGTAAGTGTTCATTTAATTGTGTTTGTTTCAAAAATTGACACTCACGTATTGTTGTTAAATATGTATAATGATATATTCAAAAGGACACCTATGATGATTCCGATAAAAGACATAAATACGCCAAATAGTAGACAAATTGTCAGAAACTATTATTGGTAAAAAAGTACATATAATTTATCATTACCCTATAATCATACATTTTTTCATTCATTCTCTCATAACATAAATCTTGTAGGAATATCTAAAAATGTATCTTGATGAACGATGTGAGAAAGAAAAAAAAGAAGTAAGTTCATAGACACATTACTATATTTGTCCTAATAAATGAATGCTGTTGAAATTGGGTGGATACAAGACAGAAGACAAAGAATTAAAGCTGCAGAGCAGTCTTGTCGGGTCCAAGTTTGAAGGTTGAATATGCCTTATTATGTAGCCACTGGTGTACCGGTATGTTATTTTTCCCAGAAAATGTTTCTGTCATACTTGCTACATGCACAATATCAAGTTGATCAGTTAAATCATTCATGAAACACAAACTGGGGCTTTTTTGCAAAAATCCAAGATGGCGGCTCAACCTTGTGACTTTAATATTTATTATTCCTACAAGAAGCTACGTCCGTATATGTTAAATGTCCAATATCCAGGTGATCGATTAAAAAAATGACCTAATTTGTCCCATTGTTGGCGAAAATCCAAGATGAACATTGCACTCGTACATAACCACTTCCTGTTTAGTAAAAATAAAGATGGCAGCCAAACCACGTAAGCGATCACACAGAGGTTTGCAAACTTTAATGAACATTATACATAGATGTTATTGTCAAGTTTTTTTTGTCGTTTTTCGTTGTAAAAATATGGCGAAAGAGTGACCGCTAACATTTTGTTCATGGCATAGGTAGCCCACATACCATGCAAAACATGGACACCATAATTTATGTTAGTATTACAATGGTTATTATGCAGAATGAAAAACGACCCTTGCTTTCTATTTCTCAACGCTTCCGGAGAGAACCAAAAGACGAGATAAAAAATACATCTGTAAGTACTATATTGTTTTACATATATGCTAACATATCATCGACCAAGATAACAATGAGAGTATCATTATCGCTACTGTAAATGGCATTTTCCCGAACTTCGCATAACACATGGAGATATAGTTGCACTATAATCATGAACATACAAACAATTATGTGCCACCCAGATTAGATACTAACAATAATATTTTATATTTTATATTCAACCAGGACATTGCCAAGAAAGAATTGATCAAGATTAGTAGTCTGTATGTACACAAGCTAATGAATCGAACGTTACTACATCCAGTCACTGGACATCGTCACGCCACAACCGGCATGTGCCTGTGTCAACTTGTACAAGCGGAAGTGTACGAAGAAACCATCTGAGTCAATAGAGTGATGTAATTGCGGGCGACCTATAGAACTGTCATTTAGTACAACATAATTATGCACAAACCTCTAATTCCATGTACACCTGTTTGAACTCGAGTTCTTATTTTGACAGGTTCTCTGAATGTATTTTATATACCACATAGCATAGAGTCGAAATATTTCACGTATTTATTTATTTACATATATGTTGTATATATGACTTAATCTGGAAAAGTACTGTAGGTTTTGTGGAACACATATGATATTGGGATGATAAAAATAGTTTCCAAATATGTTTTGGGGGAAATAGTTATTAGAAAATATGAGTGCTGTATATTTATTAAATAAAATTATGTAAAATAAATTAGAAATGTAGAAGTTATAAAAGATATTGTATTGTTTTGTCTTTATTTTAACCATCATTTAATTAATTATTTTGCTCGATTAATTTAGCAGCACTAAGTATTATATATTTGTCTGGGAGTAGATATATGGATTAATATAACGACAGTTGAATGTATGTCTGATTTCGCCTGTAACTGAATAGTGGAACATTATTTAACATATTTTTTCTAGAAATGTGGTCGAATTTTGATTCAAAGGAACAACATCAACTTAAATGACATCTAGTTGTAGTTCAAAGTTTTTTTTCTATACGTAACTACGGTTAACTTAAGCTTAAATGTAGTAATAATTCCGTACGATTATAGCTATATCATTTATTTAAACTCCTTTGTATAACCCTCATTTTGTGATGATGCGGGCAATATGTAATTGACTTGGTATGCTAGTTTTATTAATCCACAGTTGCTATGGTGAAGTGTTTTGTACCTTTGAGTTGTTTCCTGGATTGGCAATACTAATGAATAGCTTTATGATTTGATAAAATAGTAAATTCATATTGATTATGATATTTGTTTCTTGCTCATTTGTGTTTTTACGTTTAACTTGTGTAATATATTTCCAGTTTTTCACATTAGACTCTTACTCAGTCACACAACTTTTCATGACATTAAATTACATTAAAATATCCTTGGAAGCTTAATTCAAGTATACTTTATTGTAAATGGACATACAAACAATTGTGTATATTTCTCTTGTATATCATGGCAGACTCGTGTAATAAGACGGTGTCGGTTAAAACATACAATGTATGTGTTATAAAGAAGCATATACACATGATCCACCATTTCGTATTCTCCCAACCCCTACTTCATGAATACTACGTTTGCTGAACACATATGTCGTGGCCATTTCCCATTCACTCCGAAGCTAGTAATCATATTACCAGTGCTTCCCTAAAACCGTAATATATATAGCTGTATTTTAACTATGACCACGGTAATGAGATGGGTCCCGATTGATTTCTTGAATACGCGCTCACAAATAACGATTAATGTGTTCTAGATTATTAGTTTTCATATTGAGAGCTCATAATATCATATTTATCACAAAAAATTACTAGACTCTTTCAATAATATCTTGTATTGTAAGGGCACGAATGAGCTTCTACCACGGTTTCTAGTAACCGTGCTTCTATCTATATTATATGTACGCAGATCAAATAAAACAACATCTTATAGTTAACGGTGTGTCTCGTTATCGTTTGTTAATTACACAGCAATGGGAAACATTAAACTTTCTAGTGCTTCAAAGTATCACGCTAAATTAAAATGCGTCCACAGAAAA